TTTAACTATATATAGCCAGTTGTATCTATTTGGAGGTCCAAGGAATTACACTTTTGGCATTATTCAATATATATTTGCTCATAGTATATAGATTGCTATGTTCCCTCATAGTTCTTCAATTCTTTCGCCTTGCTAGGATCCTAGACAACTTCAAAAGAGCTTTTGTAGGTTTTTTGATATGATAACTTTCTTTACACACACACACACATCCAATTATAATATATCTGAAAAAGGTTATGCTATTATACAGGTGTTCTTCTTCTTCTTCAACTTGGCATCAAGTAAATCCTAAAATTTTTCCCTAATTATTTCAAGCTTGACGGGGAGAGATGCAGGTTTTGGTGCAATCGCCTTTTCCTTCCTTCATCAATCTCTTGATTATATAATTTTTGAATGTCTTCACTCAGAATTCCATGTTGAATTGAAGCAAATATTTATTTGTTCATCCAAAACACCCATGTTCCCCATTCCTTTGATTTGGTTTAGGGATATTAATTTTAAATTTTGCATGTTATCACTCCCAATTTTAGGTTGAATTATGGCAATCCCTTTGAAGCAAATCACTCACACATCACAGAAGGTAAATAAATAGGCAAAAACAAACCACATTATTGATGTGGTTACTCTGAATCTAAAGGCAGTTCACTGGATGGCGTCCAACACACAATTTTGATTTGCGTTTGAGTTTCTTCTAATTTCTGTTGCAATCGAGTCACTGGTTTTTCACATGAGGAGTTTGACCTCGCTACAGTTAATGGTGTAACGTCAAGTTTGAAAATTTCCTCCAAATTACTCGCAATTAAGATACATCATTATTTGAGTTTTTCCGCCTGCCCAGGTTGTCATTTATTTGAGATTTTCTACCTGTCTAGGTTGATTTTCTTCCTTTGTTTGTAATATATAAGGATGTTCCTGAGAAACATATAGTAGGGTTATTTGATTGTGAGGATGACACGTGGCAGGTGAGATTGAGGTGACATGGCATTGAGGTGGATTTAGTGTTTACGAGAGCTGTTTCACTTTCGTCCTTGAAAATCAGACGCCACCCAAATACACCGTTTCATATCTTTTCACCGGCGCCTATTCCCTATGCGACCGGAGAAGTTCAACAAAACAGCCCGCCAAGCATCGATTCCGGTGAGCAGCTTCCGGCACCCATCCGTCGACCCTTAGAATTAGCCAAACCCATTGTACACGAATGAGCCAGTACGAAGAAGAAACATTATATTCCAGATTCAATTCTGGACGCATTTTGACAAGTTTGCGCCCGTTCACCAGTCATGCTGCATGTATCAAGCAACTCCGCCTAACCCATCATGTATTATCTTCTTCTTTATGACTTTTTCTTAAAAGTACTGTATTTAAATTGTGAAGGGCAGACATCACCAAAAACAACCACTTCTTATGCCTTTGTTGTTCACTCTCCAAAAATATAAATCCAATCTGAGTAGTTTCCCACTTCAAAAATTTTGAGGAAAAAATATCATCTGATCATTCTCAACTAAGCTAAAGCCCTACTGCACCTTAGCCTTTTAATCAATCATTGGGGGATTCATATCTGCACTCTTTCTTTGTGTTGCTTTACAGTTCTTTCGTCTTTCATATCTGCATCTATTGTTCCGCGTCTAGCTTTTAGTTAAACAAAGAGGGCTGATATTTTGAATGCTTATTCTTTCCAAGGTTATTAGGATTGCTGGTTAGATTGTGAGATCATATTTGTTCATTCAGCACCCCTTATTGTTTGAATTGCAAATCAATACCCCTAATTACACGAATTGCAAAATGCAATCTAGCCAAGAATCAAGACTGCCCCGTACTTTTACCTAATTGTCTAAATTTTGCAGGCCCTATTTTGTGTAATTGAAGCTGAATGGACGAAGACCTTAGTTCTCAACTGTGGATGTAGCAAGTGGTGAGATGCTTGAATATAAAAACTATTAAGATTACTCCTACTACTTTTTTAAAAGTCCTGCTACTACTACTACACCTTTTCTTCATTTAATGTGTGAATATTATAGGTGAATTTTATTTAGGGGGAGATTAAGACAACAATATTAAAGAGAAATGAAAATAAGAGTAAGAATTGACCTTATGGAATCTTATAGGCCACAATATACAGGACTAATTTTGTATAGTTTTGTATACCACATGATCTATTAGCATTTTTATAAGTGTTCATTTATTTAGATGTCTTTCCTATTAATGGTAACCATATCTTTTAACTTTGATTTATGATGCCTCATGTTTATAGGTTTTGGAAGTGAGAAATGAATTCTACGAGAACTCATGCTTCAACTTTGGATTTTGCTTCTATATACCCTTCATTAATGAAAGTGCACAATTTATGCTACTGCACTCTGGTATATAAATAAAAAGAAAAAAAATGCAATGACATGGCGCGTGATAAGTCCGTATCGAGGGGACATGGCGCATGATCTGGATTACTATGCCACGAGGGATAAGAGCGTTGGATGGCTTTGAACAAACGCTCAACCTCCTTAGCTTCTTTCTGCACTCGGCACATGAATTCTCTTCACCTCTTTGACCTCAACGCAGATCATTTTTATCTTTCAATCAATTTTGCCTATGGGGTGCATGACATATCCGGAGTCATGACGTGCATCTGATTTCCTTGCATTCACGGCCTCTCTCACAAACGAAGAACGGGTCGAGATGATTCAGGCGGCGATTGTGGTGGTTTATTTTTGCTTGATTGTGCCTATGGCATTGTCTTGAGGCAATTGACGTGGTTGGGCCAACAAGACCACTAGCTGCAACGACTACAACTACAGGTGTTCTTCTTCTTCTTCAACTTGGCATCAAGTAATTCCTAAAATATTTCCCTAATTATTTCAAGCTTTACGGGGAGAGATGCAGGTTTTGGTGCAATCACCTTTTCCTTCCTTCATCAGTCTCTGGTAGAACCGGTTTACAATACTTCCTCTCCAGTGCTTCTCACGTTTGTCATCGCCCAAGTAATTTCACCTTCCTTTTCATTTGGTTTAGGGATGTTGATTATATAATTTTTGCATGTCTTCACTCACAATTCCATGTTGAATTGAAGTAAAGATTTATTTGTTCACGCAAAAGACCCATGTTCCCCATTCGTTTGATTTGGTTTAGGGATATTAATTTTAAATTTTGCATGTTATCACTCACAATTCTATGTTGAATTAAGGCAAAGATATAATGCCTCCCTTTGAAGCAAATCACTCACACATCACAGAAGGTAAATAAATAGGCAAAAACAAACCACATTTTTGATGCATAACTCTGAATCTAAAGGCAGGTGGGGATTCACTGGATGGCATCCAACACACAATTATAATTTGCGTTTGAGTTTCTTCTGATTTTTGTTGCAATCGAGTTACTGGTTTTTCACATGAGGAGTTCGACCTCGCTACAGTTAATGGTGTAACGTCAGGTTTGTAAATTTCCTCCCAATTACTCGCAATTAAGATACATCATTATTTGAGTTTTTCCGCCTGCCCAGGTTGTCATTTATTTGAGATTTTCTACCTGTCTCGGTTGATTTTCTTCCTTTGTTTGTAATATATAAGGATGTTCCTGAGAAACAGGTGTGAGCATATAGTGAAGTAGAGGTGAGATACGTAGAAAAAGAAATTGCAGGTATTTTGCATGGATCCTTTTCTTTCTTTTTGCATTTTTTTTCATTTCAATTTCATATTGATACTCTGAGATTACGATAATATATTTTCACATCTCAAAGGTGTTTGACGCGATGAAAGGAAGAGGTGCGTTGATTTGTTTTCATCTATTTAATACACCACTTATTACCTAGATATTAAACTTTCATGGAACAAATTGCAGGTATTTTTCATGGATCCTTTTCTTTCTTTCTTTTGTCAAATTATTTTTTGCAATGCTAAACTTAAATGTTCTATTGAAAAATAATGCACATGCCTTCAACAACATATTCGTTGTTCTCACTCCCTTTTTTTGGCACAGCTGGGTTATTCCATTGAGGGGTTGGGAGCATATTTGCTATACAAAGAATTAAGGTTGGTGAATTTAATTTGCTTATTGATTGAATAATTGATTTCATAGAAGCGTTTATGCTATACTGACTGAATGATGAAACACCTTCCCAACTGCAAATTTATTAACCTATATTTGATATTCCAAGAAAATGCTCCACAACTCTAAAGCCTCAAGTTCATAATAGAAGAATTATAATTCAAAATCAATTGCCTTAAAAAAATTTGGTCTGCATGAGATTCTTTGTTAATTACATCTACCAAAGTGCTAATCAAAGAAAAAGAAGAAGATACCCTTGATCAGTGGTAATTATGTGTGTTTTTTCATTTTCAAAACTGAATTCTAGCTTTTAAATGAATTTACTCTCATATATTACATGTATTTATGAAGAACTTGAAGTTAATTTTTTGAAAAACATTATTACTCCAAACACAACTCAAGGCTGAAATGTTTATGTTGTAAAAGTAGGTATAACGTCTCTTGGCAGTTCAATATCAATGACATTTGGTTGGAAAAGTACTCATTTACTCTTTTTCAAACCCAATCATATGGTTTTACAATCTATGAATACAGATCTTTATTAGTGTTGGGGTTTAGTTGTCAAATACCATTTGCATGTCTTCATAGAGTAAAATTTTTTTGGTTTACTATAGATAATTACATATTGAACATGTGAAAAAAGGAAGCTTAGTATTAGTTCTGTAAAAGTTTAAAAAGTTTAATTCTGTTTGGTTGTGCAACTTCTATTTTAGATTGATTCTGTTTCTCTTTGCTTCGAAGAGTCTTAGGTTTGCCTAAATTATTGGTGATGAAGTTGGATGATGTATATACAAATGTTGTTTGCTACACCTTGGTACCAAAATCTATACTAAAATTTTGACCGGGTTGTCCTTTGTTGGAACTACACTTGACTTTCATAAGTTTGAATATTGCTTAGGATGTTTTTTGGTTTGTTTGGCTATTGTATGACAATTTTTCCTTTATTCATTATTTTGGGATGAGATAATTGGCGCTGTCGTGTTGTAATCGTTGGAACATGAGAGTTGGAATTTGGTTATAATGCTGAATTTTTTTCTTTTCCTTTTTCCTCTTTTTTCCTCTTTTTTCCTTTTTTTCCTCTTTTAGTTCAAAGGGACTTCAGTTCTATTTCTCTTGCTATTTCTTTTCCCTTCTTATGGACTTCTACATGGTTCCTACACTCTTCTACATTTTTTTAATAAAATTGTTTTTTAAAAAATTAAACTACAACACTACTTAATATCTTAAATCTAGAGTTCTTTAAAAAATGAGAAGTAACTTATAGAAATGATTATTTCTACTCGAACAACACATTACGCCTATGAGTATTCATCTATTTTGTCCATCAAATATTCAAATATACATTTAAAAAAACGAAAACAACACTCAGCATAAATCACGAGCCCGTGCGAAGCACGGGGTAGAAAACTAGTTGATAGTATATTACTGTCGTTCTTGTGTAAAATCCTCCCTCGGGACTTAAAACCTTTCCTGTTTTTAGTTTTAAAACTTTTCCTGTTTTGAGTTCTTTGGTCAAATACTGATACAATTTTACCACAAACTAAACATAATCTAAATAAATACATGATATAAAAATTTGATGTATCAAAACTATATCCTAATATGTACCGAACTATTATATAATAGTATAGTATACTTTTCTCAAAATTTATGGTCAAAGAGTGTCACTGTTTTACCCAAAAAGTCAAAATAAGAGACTTTTAAGAGCGCGAGTAAGATAGTTAATATGCACATATTTTCTAAACTTCCATTATTTACAATATCTCATGCTTTGAGCTCAAATTAACAGATATTACTATGAATACCATGCAAATTAGCTTCATCGATGATGTTTGGTGCAAAGCCTATGCTCAATGTTTAAAACACAAAGTCTTATCATAGACTCCTTTTTATTTTGCCAAAATAATTTTGTTTATTTCATCAAACACATTAAGGATGGTTATTGACGTTTTCAACACCATATACTACCTCCGTCCCAGAGTATTTGTCCACTTTCATTTTTGCACACCATCCAATACACTTCTTTAATCCATTTTATCTTGTAATTTGTATATTAAAAAATTATAGAAATTATATATTAATAATTTATATGTTAAGAAAAATCAAACAAGATCACACATGACTATATTTAGGCTTACACATTGAGAGAATTTGATGAGTCAAAGTGCTTAGATGAACAGTTCTAAAAGTCAAAAGTAGACGAATATAGCGGGACGGAGGGAGTATGTATTTGTAGAGTAAAACGTATGCATAAAAATAAAAGTATATGCTACCATTATAGATATTTAACTTAATACACATGGTAATAAATTGAATTTATTGATACAGTATC